ATTGAAAATCTTAAAGAGATTCCAAGTGACATAAGTTATCTAAAAAGAGAATTTGATGTGAACACTTTGAAAAAATAAAATTTTATCTCGACCTACGGTTTCAGCACTTAGAAAATGAGATTTTTATTCATCAATCAATTTATATAGAAAAAAGATCTAATAATTCTGTAGAAAGCTCATCCATCGACTAGCCCAATAGTAGTTTGTTCACTTGATATCCAAAAAGATCTTTTTCGACCTCGAAGATAATGAAAAACTACTTGGTCTTGAAGTTTCATATCTTAGTGTCGTTGGTGTTTTAATATATCTTGCTAACAATACCCAACCCGATATAGCACTTTCTATAAATTTATTAACAAGATATAATTTTGCTCTAATACGAAGATATTGGAATGAAATTATACATATATTATGTTCTCTCCGAGGAACAATTAGTATGGGCTTATTTTATTCTAATAAATCAAAGACATGATTAATTAGTTATGCATATGTAGATTATTTATCTAATCCATATAAAACCCTATCACAAATGGGCTACATATTTACACATTATGATATAGCTATATCATAACGTTCTATGAAGCAAAGTGTAACTACTACATATTCAAACCAAATAGAAATAACAATTTATGAGACAAGTCGAGAATGCGTTTAGTTAAGATCAATGACCTATCATTTATGAAAGACATATGGTTTATCTACCAGCAAAAAAGTTCTAACAATATCATATGAAGATAATCACTATAAGAAAAGAGGCAATTACCAATGGATTTTAGCGACGTATTTAATTTTGTTGTGATTTAGCTATTAAATAGTGATCAATTAGTGATGAAATTGAATTTGCATCAATTCACGATGGATTAGAGATGGATTTATGATGGTAATTTAGCAACAAACAATATTTTGATGCTAAAGAATAAGGAAAAAATGCACGCTAACTTCAATTATGGAATTGCTACAGATTAGCGAGAGAAGTTAGCGATAGATTATAACTTTCGTTGCTAACAAGTATTGTAACACCCTCAACCTAGGACTTATTAGGTTGAGAATATTACCACCATTGACTTATATTAGGATTGCAATGAATATAAGCCAACAAGGCATTATGTCTTTCCTATGGTGTATTAGGTATGGATTATGCTACAAAAGTCTATCAAATGGTGGGTAAGTTCTAAGTTCAGCCTAAATATGCAATGTTAAATTTTTTCCATTTTTCCATTTTATTTTATTAGTTTAGATTGAACCGACTAGATCTATGACACTTGGTTTTGTCAAAAAAAATTTCTATAAGCCGGTGAGGATTTATTTAGTTATTAACTCGTTATTTAATAACTAATCCTTTTTCCTTCTATTAATTGCCATTTATTATAGTTATTTAATTATTAATTTAATGGTCACATTTTATTACTAATGATGGCATGCAAGCAACTAATTAAAAGAAATCTATTCTAGTTACTACTATGCTAATACATTACTACTACATTACTATTGATATTTTGGATTAATTTACAAACTATCCTTAATTTACATTACCTAGTTCATTGCCTTCATAATACAAAAGTGGCTTATTTAATTACATTCATCACCCTTTACCAGCTTATTATTTACTTAATTATTGGTTTGACTATCATATAAAATAAAGATCTCATACCCGGTATATAGATGAGAATCCCGAATACCAGTAATAAAATGGTATGAACTAAGTCCATCTTCTAGCTACAAGCAAGATACACACGGCAAATGGATCCCTCAATAGCCAAATCAAACATAAGCATCACGATTATGGTTTGTCTTTTTTCCTTACATTACAAGAATTTGGTAAGCTATTGCCTAATAAGTTAACCATGCATGACATGCAAGTAGGTGAATTACACATGAGAAATTATTGGCATGGTCTTTGAAAAATCTTTTTTCTATGTCATAAAATCTTTCCATGATCATTCTAAAAAATCTTTTTTATCTTTAAACATGTCATGTCTTCGAACTTCGGGGTTTCCATGATCTATCCGATAAATTAGATCGATCACGGATTCGCCCTATGAAGTCTCTAAAAGTACACGTTTGCATCCACTCGACCCATAAAAATCAAAAACCATGAACCATGAACCATGAAAGTCATGGAGAACCATAAAGTCCTTCCCATAAAAGCATGAACCATAAAAGTCATGAAAACCATGTAATATTTTCTAATCACTATTGGAAAACCTTGAAGGAAATCCCTTTTCATGACTTTAAACCTTTTCATGCATTTGGCATGCATATGCATTTTAATGTGAATGCATAACTCGTCATGAATCCATGTAGTGCATGTAATGAATGGTGTGCATTTATTTCATAACAATAGATATCTCAATATTATAAATTCACCACAATAACCATTACCTTGCAATCCCATTCCAAACAATAGAACCATCAATATAAGCATCACATAACCTCACATTGGCAACATCACCCAACACAAAACATTATACCCATTCCATCATCCATTTTGCAAATTTCATAACATAGTAATCACATAATGAACATCAATGGAAACATGTAAACCATATCACAACCATGATACATAAATCAAGCCATAAACCCTAATCTTTCTTAATGTTGGTCGAATGGATGCTCAACCTAACTAGGTGGGTTTTTCAATTTCAATGCTAATTTTTCATGATAAATCATCTAAATGTATATTAATATCATGAAATTAACCAATTAAACTTTAATAAACTAATTGCACTAAAAACTATAATTTTAGGCTTAGTGGGTCGAAATTCTACTTAGGATAAACTAAGTTAATTTTTCAATTTCAATGAAATTTTCCATGCTAATTCATCTTCTTAAACTATACTAACTTGAATTTAATCAATCAAACCATTAGAAACAAAAGGCATTAAATTCCTAATTTTCACCTAAATTGGGCCGAATGTGGGCTTAAGGTACTAGATGAAATTTTTAATATTTGTGTAATTTCTCATACTAAATCATCTATTCACACTTAAATAATACATAATCAAACAATAATTCAACAAATAAACCATAGGATCAAAAACCCTAAATTTGCCAAATTAGGCCGAATGTTCCACAAAGGATCAAGCTAAGGGATTCTTATTTTTAACACATATTTTCATGCTCAATTAACATATTCTAACCTCAATTGCATCAATTTTATCTTTAATTCCATTTTCTCTAATTTTCTTTCATCAAGAATCCTAATCCTAATTTTTAAAGTTCATCTAATTAAGCTTGAATAAATTAAGAAAAACAATCAATTGACATCAATTAAACATTCCTTATGATGTAGATGAAATTAACTAACTTAGAGAGCTTCAAATTAAGTTTGTTTGCCTTGAAGTATTCCTTACTCTCCTCCTCCTCCAATATTTGGCCAAGATCTCAATTTTTCTCCCTTGAAATGTTTGAGCTTCCAACTATGATTTTAGGTTGAATCAAGTTTCTTAAGGGTGTTTTAAGTGTTTAGGTGGAATTTTAGATGGAATTTTATGAAAATTTTGCAAGAATTTCCCCTAACTTTTCCATTTTTTCTAACATTTTCTTACACCTTTTTCACCCATATATATAGGTAAGCTTGGTTGGACTTTCTCCATGTTTGACTTGATCTTAGCTCTTCATTTGGTTTAATGATAACCCTTGATTTTACTTTTAATCCTAACCCTTCATTTGTTTTAATCTTGACCTTCCATTTTTCTTTAAAACAACAGAGTTCGGCATAGCCCAAAGACATCTCCACCAAGACATGATACGAGACCAGAACATCCACACCTGATGGCACTCAAAGAGAAGATGCCGAACTGTCTCCACATACACTCTCATTGCATAAAGGAAATGCTTTTTTCAGCCTCATTGACGTACCTCGTCTATGCAAGAAATCCTCGGGCACAATCTTCCATGGCAGCAAGCCAGACATTTGAAACTGGCCTCCATCATCGATGATTATCACCTGCTAACAAGATTGATCCCACAACTAATGCACATGACTTAAGTGAGAAAAGACCACGAGAATCTGGCCTCCATCATCGATGAATTGACTTTCCTTAGAAATGTGTGCCTGAATTTTGTAACTGAAACTTAGATGCATGCCTACTTGCGAAGATACTTTTTATGTTTTTTTTTTTTTTTTTTTAAGCATCAGTCAAGAATTCACTTCTTTTTTCTTTTTTTCAGAAAGCGAACTCAGTTTCTTAAAGAATACAGGTAATTTGCACATGAATAATAAAGATAGCTGGACTAAGGTCTTAGGCTTCTAGAAATTTTATTTGTACAAGTAATGAAGATAGCTTGACTAAAGCTTTTAGGGATGCAGAATTTTTTTTTTTTGAAGAATCTCAGAAAGTTGATAAGCTTGTGTGGTCTATGAATTAAGGGCATGCTCTGATTGCACCTGTAATTTCAAGATTATTGTGATTTTTCAAGAAAATAATTATAACTAACAAGTGAGCTAGTAAAGAAAGAAAGTCAGAACCTATATATGCCATTCTATAACAAACAGGAATTCAGCAACACTATAATAACTCAAACCGCATCAAGACCAAGCGTTTGGCCCTATAAAATCCTTCCAAAACTCAATTGAGAGGATTTCTTGAATCAATTTCTCTGTTCTGAGAAGATAATTACATAGCTTCAAGAAACATCAAAACTAACCAAGATTTACCAACTCTTCTCTTCACCTTTCTTTTATGGACAAGCCTTGAAGCGATTCTTCCCATTCATTGCACCTTTTCTTTCCTTCTTCAGCTTCATTCTTCTTGAAGTATCGCCTCTCATATTGCATTTCTTTCTCTCCGTCCTCTCCAAAACCTCACCAACCTCCTCGGGTTTCTCTTGCATTCCTCTGAATCTTGCACATATATATGTTCAACGAGAGAGTTCTAAGTCACTACATTATATAAACAAACAAACAACTTAAGTTTCAAGAACCCTCTTCTCGAAACAAAGTTTACCTTATATATTCGCTTCTCCTATCCCTTTAAATAAGAAAACTTTTCGTGTCCATGGATGATACAAAACAAGAAGTGGCAAACACCAACGTCACCAAGTTCTCAGAGGATTTGATAACAGAGATACTACTAAGAATGCCTGTGAGAATCCTCTTGAGATTCAGGTGCGTTTGCAAAGCTTGGTTTCGCTTAATTTCGCATGAAGACTTTGCCAACCTTCACCTTAGAAGATCTCCCCCTGGAATCTTGAACAAACTCTCGCCCGAAGGAGGTAAACTCCATTTATTCCAGATGGGGGAAACTGGTAAAGCTTCCAAGGTTGAGGAAATGAAGTTTGTTCCTGAAACCAACTTACCAGCCACTTTAGATATTGAGTTAATGAATTCTTGTAATGGACTGCTTTGCTTATCCGAAGGTGAATTCCGCAATGTTATTCATGTTTGCAATCCTGTTTTACGTGAGCACATCACAATCCAGGTGGATGATCATAAAGCAAGTGGGTATGGCAAACATTTGCTCTTGGATTCAGTACGACACGTAAACAATACAAAGTGCTATGGACTTTTTATCAAAAAGCGGAATATGAAGATCCGCGTACGTACCCTAAGACTGAAATATACACAATTAAGACGGAACAATGGAGAAGCATAGTAGATTCTTTCAGCATCGGGAGACTGGATTTTAATACCTCTCTCCATGATTGCATCCACTGGGCCCATTATGAAACAAGTTTGGAGTGTATCTGCTCTTTTGACTTTGGACGTGAGCAGTTCAGGAGATTGCCAGCACCTCCTAATTGTGATGGAAATCTTGATGGATTCGTAAGGTTGGGGGTTTTCAACGATTGTCTATCTGTGACTGTATGCAAGTGGGATGCTCCTTATGAAATTCACATATGGGCTATGAAGGAGTATGGTGTCCAAGAGTCTTGGTTCAAACATATTCTGATTAAATCTCAGTACCGCCATTTTACTTTTTATGAACCATTAATTCTCTTGCGAAGAGGGCAAATCTTAATTTTACTCGAAGAAAAATTATTGGTCTGTTGTTACAACATAGAAGAAGATCGGTTCCGAGGGAATATTATCCAATGTTACAATGTGGAAGATATGCCTGCGATTGCATATAAACCAAGTTTTGTTTCACTCCACCATATTGTTACAAGACATGAACAAGTGCTGAGGTAATCCTTTGCTAATTATAGACATAATAGAGTTTATGTTTGCTGTTTGATAAATAGGTGATGCACTGTAGGAGTGTGAACATTAATGTATTTGTTTTCTTCCAGTATAGATTGTGTGTCCAATATTTCCTTGCTCAAAGTTTTACTTCGTGACTTTTCACAGAAGGTTCTGTAGTATTATACTCAAGGGTTTCTTGCTTGCGGATCTAGTGATCTGATACTACTGTTAGTATGAAATTCTATTGTTATTCGCTTCTTGAAACAAGGAAAATTAACACTCCTTCAATCTGTCAAATCCAAGAATATTGGCGATACTTCCATCACCTGATAAAAATAGTTTTGGCTTGGTCTAAGTTTCTGCCATTATGCTTGCATGTTTACTCCAGTCATGGCTCCATTTCTAAGACCACCTCTTCAAAGTAACAAGTTTCTGTATGAGTTACTAGTCTTGGCGATGTAAATTTCCTTGCTTTACCATTATTAACCATTTCCGTGTTTATTGCTATTTTCATGATGCTGTACAACTCATCAACAGGACCAGTAAGGACTTAACTGAGATTCGCCGAAGACCAAACAGAAAAGTGTGACTGAATCAATCATCTCAATAGTGAAAGGTCAAGTTTGTTCTAAAAAAAGAAAATCTTCGACTTTTCAGAAGTTTATATGAAGGTTGTTGTCATGCAAATTCCAGTTCAATCAAGATCGTTCCTAAGATATCAACTCTTTTCCACTGAATTTTGCGAAAGGCTGTTGTTATGCTAAAAGATGTGTTTTGTCTATGACCAGTCATTGTTGTGGCATTCTACAATTGAAAAAGAAATGGCAATCCTGACGTGATTAGACTTTTGATTGTAGTCTCTTCTTATCATGTCTTTGCACTTGCTTTGATTGCTCTTTTATGGTATTGAATCCCACTTTTACAGTCATTTTGTAGTATAAATTTTCGGTCAAGTTGCATGGAGAAAAGAGCATAGCAATCTATTCTCTTGTCGTCAAGTGTCCTTGGCATATTTGGTTAATAACTTCTTCATTAAAGAAAATAATTATCTCGCTGTAAATTTTATAACCTGAGCTTAAATTTATGTTAAGACTAAATAATCATCCTCTGAATTTTGAATCTGAAACATCATGCATAGGTGCTTATGAGGATATTCGTTATGTTTATTAGCATCGTCAAAAATTTATTTCTTTTTATCAGAAAATGAATTCGCTTTCTAAAAGAAAGCAGGTAATTGGCACATGAGTAACAACAACAGCTGAACTAATGCTTCTAAAACTTTGAATCCTAAGAATGTGACATTAACGTTTTGTGATAAAATCACAACCATAAATAAATAAGTTCATGATCAAAATAACACTTACCTATAAATTGTTTCACTAGATCAAGATATTAATATTAAATCACTATCTTATTAAAATCATTCTTGTCCTTGTCTTTTTTCTCTCATATCTATTATGTGAATATTATTTGGACTGTGATTATTTGAATGTGAATGTATTAATGGCTAAATTATTAATAAGCAACAAAAGAGAGAAAAGTAATGAGGTGTGTAATTATACTCGTGGTTAGTATAGGATGCCATTGAAAAAGAACATTAGTAACAATAACAATACGGGTCCGAGTAGGACTGCCACGAATCAAGAGGAATAGTTAATGACACTCGCTTAGTTAGTTATACGATATGATAGAGTAAATATAAAGGATAAAGGAAATGTATTAAGTATTTGATATGAGAATGATTGGCATGAGTGCAAATAGGCTAATTTGTAAGATACTCTTTGCAAAGTTGGCATGATTGCCATTATGTAAGGAAAGGAATGGATTCATATTTAAAGAAAGGAAAATTTGTAAGGAGAATGTGGTAAAGCATACAAGGCCTTATACGTGGAGGGGGTATCCAAAGGAAAAGCTAGCAAAGAGAATGTTCTAATGAACACTCTTTGCAAGGCATGCAATGGGAATGATCTAATGAATATCTCGTGTGTCAAATGAAATAGGACATGCCAAGAGAATGATCTAGTGAATACACTTAGCATATAAAGGAAATCATCTAATGGATACCCGGGATGTTATAAGGAGGACATATCAAGAGAAAGATCTCAAAGTTATGTAAAGGAAACGGTTTAATGAATACTCTCGAGTTATGAAAAGAGAACTCACAAGAGAATAATCTAGTGCGTACTCTTATGAAAAATATAGAAAAAGGATATTGTACTATAAAGATGATCAAGAATTAGATGATTTGTGAATAGAGGTTTAGAACCATTAAGTTTAATGGTCAATTATTAAGAACCATTCATGATAATTGAAGAATATTAGTGATCATTATGAAAATTTCGAGGATGAAATTTTTATAAGGAGGGAGGATGTAATATTTTCGACCCAAAATCCTCCTTAAATTTAAATATGCTACAAGGATATTTCGTTTAATTAATAAAAGAATATTTGGATAAAGTGAGGAATGGAAGTTTATACTCGTATTAAGAATAAATTAAATACAAGTATTGTTATTATGAAAGGTGAATGGATTAATTAAAAGTTAGATTAGAGGATTATAATAATTATGTTTGTAAGAATTATTCATTTAATTAATGTATGAATATGTATTTAAAGTAAGGATTGAAACATTATGCATAGATAAGAATCAAATTAATGTAAATATAATTATTATGAAAGATAAATGAATTAATTAAAAGATAAAAGAATTAATTAAAGTGTGAATTAGAGATTTGCACTATTAATTGTTATGATTATGCTTTGACCTATGGACACAATTGCAAAATATAAAGGCATAATCACAACAAATAAAAATTTAGGTACTTCATTGAAATGTTTAAGAAACTTTAGGGACTTAAATTATCCTTGGAAAAGGCCTAGAATAAGGGCTACATTGACAAAAATTATGAAGTTACGAGACCGAATTGGAGGGGCTGATTGAAATGATTAAAAATTTAGAGACTAAAGTGTAAAGTGTTAATGTTTTGGGGGACTTATTAATTGGTTTTAGGAGGGTTATTCTAACAAGAATATTCTGGAAATTTTAGAGAAAAAGAGAGGAAGAAAGTCAAGAAAGAGAGAAAGAAAGAAGAGAAAATATCCAAAGAAAAGAAGAAGAAAAATCTAAAAACCATTAATTAATATACTTAAGATCAAACCAAGTGTGACATACTTGGCTTAATCTTAAGGAGAAACCATGGCTATAAAAATGGAGGAAAAAGATGGAAGAAGGGTTAGAAGCCATAGATGTTCAAGTAACCCTAAAAGAAGAACTATACCAACCAAAAAGAAAACCACCCAACCACCACTCGAACCACCTTGGTTAGCTTAGAAACACTCTAAAACAATCTCAAATCAGTTTAGAAGATCAAACAAAGAAAGAAGAAAAATCACTATTTGGGTTGAAATTTTTTGAGGGAAGAAGAAGAAGAAAATCGAGGAAAAGAGGAAAATTGACCAAACTTTAAGTAAGGTAACCGTAATCCTCACTATACCATAAGAAATTAGTGATTTTTATGTATAATTGATGTTAATTTGAAGTTTTATTGCTTATGGTTTAATGGTTAAATTGTTGGAGTTATAATGTTGCTTGAATTGGATTATTCAGATGATGTATATATGTTTTTTATATTAGAATTGTGATGTTTAGGTGATTAATTAGAATGAATTGGTGTGTTCTAATGTTATCCTTAGAAAAAGGTGGTTGGATATCCTAAAAGATGGATAAATTAATGGTTTTAGTACCTAATGTTTACAAGGTGTTTGATGAAATATCTTTGTAGTGTTTATGAAGTTGAATTGGAAGAATTGAAATTTGGTCACTTTGTGAAGAATTTCGACCTAAGTAAAAAGTTAAGGTTGATTGATCTACTTAACCTAATTGATGTATAAATGATGAAAACCTGTTAAGTTAAGGGGTTAGAGGTAAAAATGGATTGATTATGTTGCTTGATAAATTTAGCCAAAGATTGTTTATATGTCATTATTTATGTTTGATTGTTCATACATGATTTTCATGCATACTTAAATGTTATAGAGCATCTATTTGATTTATTAGTTATGTTATAAGTTCTTGAGATTTGAAAGTATACATGTTAAGGTCTATATTGATGCATTACATTTTAATTAAATACACTTGCATAGCATAAATCATGAAAGAGGCTTTACATTCATGATTTTGATGAAAGAAAAAAGAAAAGGAAAGGTTTTCAAAAAGGAATGGCTAGGTAACTTCTTGAGGTTATGGAAGAGGAATGATCACCCTCTCTTGAAAAAAAGGAAAAATACATGCTAAGAAAATGATATAGTTTATACTCTTAGCATGTAAAGGGAATGCCAATTGAAAGAGGACATCATAAGAGAATGATCTAGTGTATACTCTTAGGATGTAAAGGAAAATGTTATAAGAAGGTACCTAGTGCTTTTGTGAAGTTTTCACAATTGCATGTTTTAAAAGATAGCCGATTATATACTCAATTAGTAGGGTGCGTCTAAAAAAGAAAATGAATTTCAAAAGGAATGAAAATAATTTTTAAATACATCATATGCATTACATGCATTGCATGGATTACACTCACTAAGCGTTGCCCACTTTTGTTTCTTATAGTGTAGGAGAAAACAAAGATGAATAAGGATCGTCATTGAGAAATATCGAAGACTTGCTATGTATGTGCTTATCATGTAAAAATGTGCGAGAAACCTTATCTTTGTTTAACTTAATTTATGGTTATGTATATTTGGTAATAAGTTAAGCAATATTTGGTAATAAGTTAAGCAATCTTGGTTTGTAATACTAAATGGTTTGGTTGAATTTTTATCAATAGTATTATGTTAAGTAATTGTTTGATTATATAACTTGATAATTAAATTGGTTACTTGACTAATTAGAATGATCTACATAAGTTAAAATTTATGGTTATGTATATTGGAAATAAGTTAAGCATGGTATGATTGAATGTTTATCAATAGTATTATGTTAAATAATTATCCAATTATATAACTTGATAATTAAATTAGTAGCTTGACTAATTAGAATGATTTACATGAGTTAATTGGCTATGGAAAGGAATTGATTAAAGATAAAATGAAGGAAATGAAAGTAGTAACTAAATGGTTACTTAATTTAGTAACTAATGAATTAATGATAAATAGTACTATAGAATCAAATGGTTAAGGCA